TATCTACACTTTCTTTTTGCACTAGCGACTCTATATGAGGGTTATTATGCCAGAGGAATGTGAACGTCTATGGTCACAACGCTTCATTTTCCTTTAACGGCTCTGTTTAAGGGACAGAGACATTTTTGTGGTGTGATGCATTCAGTTGGTCTCCCGGTGCTTTCTCCACATGCTTTGGAAATCATGTATTTTTCTGAGAGGTGGTGGTCACAAATGTCTTAATTTCAGCAACAGCTTCATTGTTTTAGCTTTGTTATAATTAAGATACCCTAGTAGTGTTGATTGTTTAGGAGACTCTATATTCATCTAATGGAAGATACTTTGACCCTTTGTGTACAGCTGCGTTCTCAAATGACAAACAAAATTATGGCTAAATCAAATTTTAAAAATGAATTTTAATAGATTCCAGGAGGTAGGAACACTAGGATAACTCATGTGACTTCAAAGCTAAGATCTCTGCCAACAGCACAATTCACAATTTCCTAAGAGTGAATTTTTGAGTTCCCTTTACTAGTGCCTGGTTTAATTCGGTTTCCGTTCTCCATGGCTCACTTTCAGTAACTCCTGTTGTGCGTGATTATATGTAGATTAGACACCAGTAGCCTGAGAGTAAGATCTGTGTTCTATTCTGAAAAGCTAGGTCAAATCTGGCCTCCACGTGATGCAGGTAAAATGCCCATGCAAGTACTATGGCAACATTTACTGAATGTAATTTTAATTGAAACGATCTGCTTTGGGTTATATTTCCTTAGATGTAATATCAATTTTTCTCTTAACTTTCTCCTAATTATTTTCTTGGTAATGTACTTGAAAGGGCTTTTCAACTACTGTGTATATCGGTTTTCCTTTGTAAGAAATTATGAAATTGTTACTTTCTCTTCCTTATGTTCTACACTTTGCCCAATATTGCATTGAGCCCTGATTTACACATTATGGTGAGTCTTTATATTCTAAATGTATTATTTTAGAACTTTAAGTATTTGGCAAATAGTGAAGTATTGGGGAGATTAAAGAGAACTAAACACACAAGAGTCAAGTATGATCCAGAGGAAACAGTCAAAGAAGTTGCTCTTGTAAAGAATGTAAGCAAGTAGAAAGAAAAGCTTATTTCAGAACACAAATATCCATAGGAAAATAACAAGCAGTAAACGCTTTAAAAGACCCGACTGAAGGTTGATAGTTGAATTTCTATGAAATACTTTATATTCGACGTCATAGGAGTGGACGTAGGCATGGGTAATTGTTTTCTTCCCTTAACAACTGAAAACAATGTTAAAAACATAAATAACAAGACTTCATACACAGTGAAAGCAAGTGAAGTAACTGACGATTGTATTATAGAACTATAGGTATATCACGGAAATTGAGAGCACGACGTGCAGTTTAATAGTGGGGGTGCAAGATTTAAAAATGAGGAACAGGCCAAAATCCTAAAGAAAAAATAGGATCATCCTCCCCCCCCCCCATCCTTGAAATGGAAAAAGATTTCAATTATAAAAATGTGGTCGTTAAATGCCTGAACTTGTTACAATGAGTCTGGCGGTGGGAGTGAGGGGTATTCATTGCGGATCATCATCTCCTACCGCCTCTCCTAAGACTGGTGCGCATGAGCCTGCGGAAGAGCTGGTGTCCCACTGTCCAGAAAGGGTTCCATATCCACACCCCGGCACTGCGGCCCCTTGGGGGAGCAGGCCTTTTTGATCTCTCCGCTTCTCCTCCCCATTTTAAAAGCACAATCCGGTTAAGATTCCGATTCACCCCAATTCCTGGACAGAACCTTACACGGGCCAATCTCTGCTCTCAAGTTGAAAACAAACTTCCAGTATCGGTCACCCAAGCCCTCGAAAATCCTAGCCCTCTCGGTTCGACTCTTAAACAACGGCCTGGCCCTTGAACACCTTTGGGTCTCAGCACGACTCCACTCCCCTCCCAGCAGGCACCGCTTTGAGGTCCGCCGCTCGGACCACGGTGGCCCGCAGCGGGGAAAGTGGCTGCGGTACACTCCACTACGCCCCGCCCCCGGCGAGCGTGGCGGAAGTTGCTTGCTCGGAAAAGGAGACCACGGCCACCTGGTGGAGCGCGCATGCGCCAGAGCCCGCGCAGCTAGTGGTAGGGGCGTCTGCAGCGCTCCCTCCTCCGTCTCCGCCGCCCCCGCCCCACGGAGAGTCGGGCTCACGCCATCTTGTGCCCCCCCGCCCCTGCCGAGCCACCTTCTCCCTTTCTACACTCTCAGCCCTCCACCCCGCCCCTTTCCAAGCGTGCCCCAGGCCGCCGCCGCCGAAACCGCACCATCTCTCCCCACATTCTCCACGCGGGAAGCGCAGCCGTGCCTACAAGTGCTCTTAAAGCGGAGGTTGTAGGGGGTGCGGGGGGCGGTGCGGGGCGGGCGGGGAGGGATCTGCGAACCGGGATGGACGGCGCGCGGCGAGTCCCGCGTCCGTGGGCCCGGCCCCGTCCTGACCCCTGCCGCGGGGCGGCCGCGGGGGAGGAATTGGCGTTTGTACTCTAGGGCTGAAGGGAGGACGGTAGCGCGAGGCGCCGGCCGGGCTCAGCACCCGGTTCTCCCGCCGAGCGTGGAACTGGCTCTTGACTCCTCCCCGTCGGCGGGTGGGCGTGGGGCGAGGGGAGCTGGGCAGGCGAGCTGGAGCTGGCGTGGCTGGGGCGTGTTAAGGAGCACCTTCCGCGCCTCATCTGGGTAGTGTTTTGCGGGGAGGAACCCTTAGAGAAGGAAAGTGCTTTATGCCCGGGGCGGAAGAAGAGTTAAGTAGCGTTAGTAGAAGCCTAGCATCCAGGAAAAGGGAAAGATCGACTCTGTTTTCTGTGGGCTGAGCCCACATCTGTGACCCCTGCGGAAATTATCGAGCCTGCGTTTGCCGGGTGTTCCGGTCTGTAAATGGGGGTGGTAGTAGCCTAGCCCAGAATTGCCCCGATTATGTGAGGTAATACACTGATCAGGCACTGATCAAATTACATGTTGACGGTAATTAATTTTAGTTTTCATGTTTTAAGAAATTCAAAATGACTGTGACCCTGTTTTCTAAATTAAAAGTCAAGACACTTGAAGGTCTGGTAAGAGTAGATTCATAGGAAGAGTGGAATGAAGTATCTGACAGAGAGGATACTAACATGTGTTACTAACATGTGTTGTTAATGTGCACGGGGGTGAATTAGCATAACTCCATGAGGTTAATACAAACTTTAAACTGTTTACTTTGAAAGAAATTAGTATGTATCAATAGAGGAGGAAGAGACAGGGTCTTAGTATATGTTAGGAGTCAGAGCTTTGAAAACGGAAGTGCGTTAGCTGTGCACAGATTTACTTGACGACCAAATTGAGGATGGACCTCTTGGAATTTCTGGTGGACGTTTCAAAGAGACTGGATTTGACTGAACATGAGGATCAATTTTTTTTGATGGTACTTTGCAAAAGGAGAATGCACCTCATTGCACTTAATTCATTATTGCAAGTTTCTTAATCTCTGGGAGTATTCAAGCAAAGATCTAGAGCAGCCTAGGTCCATAGAAGCACTGTCCAATATTGTAGAACTTTCTGCCATGATGGAAATATTCCGTAATCTGTGCTGTACTAATGTGGTATCCACTAGCATCAAGTGGCTCTTGAGCACTTGAAATGTGGCTAGTGCACTGAAGAACTTAAATTATATTTTAATTTAAATATAAATAACCAAAAGTGGCTAGTTCACTGCCTTTTGGGCAGCTTAAGCCTAGAATCTAGACTTTGAGACGCGTTTCACTTCTTGATTTGATTGAATTTTAAGTCGAAGCCAATTCTTGGAACATTTATTGCCTTAGGGAATCATAATTATATTCAAATAATGCCTTTTGCTCAAATACTATAGTTCAAAGCATGGGTCTGTTAGTACTTATTTACAGCTTGACAGATTAAAGCAAATTGTTCTTTTGACTCCTTGGGTTGTACAGCCAATGCCAGATTCATCTGGAAAGCCATAACAATACTAGCTGGCACTTCCTTTAATCATTATTGTACCGTATTGTGACCATGGGGTTCCACTATCTTTTATCACTTCGGTTAAGTTTCAGTGAAAACGTTTCTACTTTTTTATTCCTAAAGTTGTTTTCCATTTGAAAGATAGTGCTTTTTTTTTTGTTTTGTTGTTTTGTTTCGTAACTTTTTGTATAATAAAGCAAGTTGATAATTTATACTAATAACCTTTGAGCATTGGGCCATTTTAGAAATAGTTTTGTGGTTATCAATATTCAAAACTTTTGAAGAGATAAGTCTGGAATTTGGTGATATTGATGAGATTCCTTTCTTTGAGATATGTAGATTTTTTTTCTTTTTTAAGCACATTATTTTAGTGTGAGAATAAAACTTAAAAAAAAAAAAAACTTTATTTTAGGTAGCACCCTTAACTCTGGCCTAGTGCCCTTGATCTCAAGGCTGAAGATAATTGTTAGATGTAGGCCAAAAACTTAAAGCCCATGAAATATGCATTTGAATAGCCCATAACATACAAATCAAAATGGGTTGCTCTTATATAGGGTGATTGTAAACTCCAACTTTTCTGGGACAGTCATTGTTTAGAGCCTCTTTATCCTAATAGAGCCCCTTTCATATAAAAAATGTCCCAGTTGGTATCACATAATAATACGGCCACCCTACTTTTAGTCTTATTACTTGTTGAAGTTTGTAATATGTAATTTTTAGGGGGATTAATTATATTGCAATCTCACAAATGTACTAAAGTATTGAGAGAATTATTGGTTGTGCGCTTAAATAATAGATGAGATATCTGGAATAAGGCCAGCAAGTGACCTGTTCATTTAAACTACTGGTAGGTAAACATTTTTGCTTTTCTCCCTATACTGGATGGAAATCTTGGACAGTTTGATTTTTGCTTTTCTCTACATAAGTGATGTTTTCATGTTTTTGCTTTTCCCTACATAAATGATCTTTTGGTGTAGGAAGCTGCAAAGAAATTTAGGCTAAGTCAGTCAAATCAGAAGATTGAGTAATCTTGTTGAAAATAATACCCATTTTATTTTATGGTTAAGTTGAATAGTGAAGTCAGCCAGAAATCTGTCTGTTATTATTTAGCATGTACAGGAAGGATTTTGCTTATTGTTCTATAATAAAGAAAAATAATGTAGCCAAATGCCTTATTGTGTTAATTTAACTTATACTGTGGTAGGTAAAATATTTTATTGAGAGTCAAACACACTTGGTTTGAGTTCTCACTCTGCTGAGGATTAAATGAGATAATCCATGTGATGTGTTGGGTGCAGTGTTGGATACAGCAAAGCATATAAGTCAGTGCCCAATAAATATTAGCTGTTTTAGCCTTAAGTTTATTGAATAACATATCTGGAAGAGATGTTGATGTTCTGGGATGCATTGTGGATAGGTGCAAAGAGTACTTGAGACTAATTCTGCAAACCTAGGTTTCTCCCTTTTCTACCATATTCTTTGTGATTCCAGTGAAGGTGTTTAACTTCTCTGAGCCTCAGTTTCCTCATCTGTAAAATGGAATTTGTATTTCACCTCATTCCAGCCTTCCCACAGGATTGTTGAATACCATAGAGGAGAATTACATAGATTGTCTTACTTTACAAAGACATTTTATTTTAATTGGTTTTGCCTCAACTTTTCCACCTACTACCTCTAGTAAAGACTAATCGTAAATCTGCAAAAGTTGTTGTAAATTTTATTTGTAAAACAGCATAGAGTATAATAGGCTCTACCCGAGGTTGCTCTCTTTAACAATACTATAGTTCTTGGTAATGGCGCTTTACTGATCTGGTTGCAATATATTTTCTACACTAAACAACTGCATACTACTGCTAAGGGAGGTCCACCATTTTCATGGGCATTTGATGTGTTCCATCTCCTGTGCTAAATGCTGTATCTCATTTATTTATCCAGACATGTCATTCCCCCTTACTAGGTGATACTGATGAGGTGCTCACTTTCTGGAATGGGTCTGTTGGTTTTTTTTGCATTGTATTACTGCCTCTGATAGTATCTGGCTGATAGTGAATGGATATTGAAGGCTGAATAAGGTAATGAGTATGAAGATGGCACGCTGCCTGGCATATGGTATGTAGTAGTTGCTGAAAAAAAAATAGTGTGTTCATTGAATTCCTAGGGCATACATTGGAATAATTTATGTGAGTGCACTTTATAAATGCAAAATATTATATGAATATAAATGACACAGTTTAGCCATTTACTGCGAAACTGTGAGTCGGCATAGGCAGATATTTCACAACAAAGTTCACTATGACAAACACATTGTGGAGGTCTTGTGAGTTAATTAGGATCAACTTTTATTTGTATGTTCCTTGTGGGATAGTAGAAAGAACTCTGGACGGGAGTCAGGGGAACTCAGTTTTAGTCCCAGCTGTATCACTAAATAGTGATGTGTCCTTGGGCAGTTCAAGAAACCCCTCTGGACTTCAGTTTCCTCACCTGAAAAATGAGGGATTTGGATGAAATTAGTTTTTTTCAAACTGTAGTTCTGAACCTCAGATGTCTTTGGCCCCCCTCCCGCCAACTGGTGTAGTTGTAGTTTTGTCTAATTGTTTATCCACCTGCCTAAGATTGACTTTTAAGCACAGAATTCTTGAACTTTTAAAGTTAGCAAGTCTCTAAGACAACCTAATGACAAGTCCCCTGACTACTTACTATGTGTACAACTTTTCAGTAATTTCACATTAGTTTAGCGTGTTAAAGGAGATAGGCATCGTTTACAAATGAAAAAAACCTAAGGCACTGGAATTGGAGAAGGTTAATGAATTTTTGTTAAAAAATGTATGGGCATGGATGGAATATTTCTGGTTGTCTGTCAGCTACTCTGGATCAAAGCCTGATTTTTGTTAGATTTGTGACGTTTCCCCAGTTTTTACTCTTTGCTTCCTCATTGGTAGTGGGGATGATACTTGCCTTGGAGGGTAATTGTGAAAAAATGTTAGGTAGTACAGGTGAAAGACCCTTTATAAACTCTGAAATGCATATACAAATTCATCAATTTTTTTTTTACATGCCTACAGTAAATCTCTAATTCCCTTTTCTTTTAAAAACTGTGTTTTTAACCACATCAGATAGTTTATTGACTTGTTTATATTTAAAATAGACTCCTCATAAGGTTAAATATTTCTAGAACGTGAATCTAGAGTGGGAGAGAATCCTGATGTTTAAGAGAGACCTTTCTTGACATTCTTGTCAATTACACTTACTATTGACAGTATAGTTGACTAAAAATTTTTGCCCTTATCTGAAAAGTTAACTATTAAGTCACTCAAGTATATGATACTTTATGTAAAAACAACAGTGTTTTAATATGGGAAACGTAAGCTTGCCATTTTGTCAGGGGTTGAATGTTAGGTATTTTAGGATGATCTGACGGGCACATTGGCAGTGCACTTTAAGAACCGTATTTCCAAAGAATAAAGATTTTTTTTTTTGAAACTCAGTATTTCCCTAAGAGAGTACTGGATGTGAAAGCACTTGAAATAGAAACCTGCATTAATACGAAACTAAAGAAGAAAAACATAATAATACAGCTTCACAGGTCTCTGTGCAGTCTGACTGTGCTCCTAAAAAAAAAGTAACTGCTCATTTAGCCAACTAGGATATGTAAATGGACAGTTTATATCTGGCTATCAGGAATTTTTGTGGTTCACAGATGTTTTGATATTCTTTTCAATTCAAATAGATTTTTTGAATACCCGTTATGTGGTAGCCACTGTCTTCCTTATAACACTGCTCTGAGACCGGCAGAAATTATTCTTCACAGATGGAGAAGCTGAACTTGAGAGATGATTGGTCCTTATTATCAGAACCTACAGTATTGAGTAATTACCCTTAGCAGAACCCCGTGACCATGAATTATATCAGTTTTCTGTCTTACAACATCTGTCACACAACTTCTGCAGGATTTCATCTCCCCTTGAATGTCTGATAGTTGTCTCAGACTTACTATGGCATAAACTGAACTCCTGGTATCTTTGTTTTTCCTTTTTCAGTTTTCCTGATCTCAGTAAATGGCACACCATCCAACCAGTTGCTCAGGCCCCAAGCTTCGGAGTAAACTTCAGAGTCCTCCTTGACTGTTCTTTCATACTCCATGTCTAATCCATTGGCAATAAGCTCTGTCTTCAAAATATATTCCAGAAGGCTGACCACTTCTCACCATCTCCTTGTACCACTAATTCAGGCCGCCGTCCTCTTTTGCCTATACAACTTCAATAACTTTCTGACTGGTCTTCTCACTTGTACCTTTGCTTCTTTGCAGTATAACGTCATGGCAGCCAGTTACCTTTTTAAAACCTAAAACATTTCAAGTCACTTCCCTTTTCACAGTTCTGTATTAGCTTCACATTATATTCAACTAAAATTTAACCTCCATGGCCTAGAGGGCTTTATATCACCTGGCCACTTGCTAACTGTCAGGCCTTATTTTCTACTGCATATCCCCTCTGTTCCCTTCCTTTGAGCCACACTGGCTTCAAGATCTTGGTACTTTGCTGTTCTTTTTGCCTGGAAGTTCTCCAGAGCTCCATCCCGGGCTTTGTTCAGATCTTATATCAAATGTCACCTCCTGGTTGAAAACAGCTTGTTTAATTTGTTTTCATAGCCTTTGTCATGACTTCACATTATATTTATATGCTTGTCTCCTGCATTATAAGATATTTCTTTTGTCTAGCTTAGGCACTATCCTATCCCTAGCTCTTAACAACGGTGTTTGGCTGGCAGTCAGTGTCCAGTAAATAGGTATGAATGGATACACCAAAGCACAGGTCGTGCATCAGCTTTAAAGAAGAAAGTGCCTAGATTGTAAGAGGAGGGAATCAGGAGAAGATACAGGGGCTTTGGTTGAGGAGAGAGGAGGAAGTAAGTAAGAGCTTTTCATTTCTCTATGAAGGAGGAGGGGCAGTCATCTGCCAATAGTTGGGGAAGTTTATTAATAAACTAATGTGCACTGAAGTATTTAAGGTTAAACAAAAGAATTCGTGAATGAAAACATTAAATGTCAGGGAAAGGAGACTTCCTGAAGATCGTTGAGTCTGGGAAGTCTTGGAGACCTTGAGCTTCAGTTGGGCTTTTCTAGGCAGCTGGGATTTGGAGAGGTGGAGAGGAAACAAGAGGTACTGTAAGTAGGAAGAACTGTAGGCTAACGATTCTGAACCTGGGATGGTTTGGGAGATGCTGGACATTTGCTTTGACTGCTGTAGGGAAAGGAGGCTGCAGAGGTCCTGTGGGACTGATATTGGACAAATTTTATCCTCCAGGGGAAGGAGAGCTATTGGATGCTTTGAGTAGAGGAGTAACCACTACTTGTTTATTTATTATGTTTATTTATTTATTTTTTGAGAGAGAGCAGGAGGGGCAGAGATGGAGAATCCTCAACAGGCTCCGTGCTATCAGGGCAGAGCCCAATGCGGGGCTTGAATCCATGAACTGTGAGATCATGACCTGAGTGGAAACCAAGGGTTGGATGCTTAACCGACTAAGCCACCTAGGCGCTTCAAGGAGTAACCAATATTTAGAATGAGTACTCTGGAGCTGTATGCAGAATTAATTAGAAAGGTGGGAGATGGGTTTAAAAGATACTCTAGTAAAGGTATTTATTAAAGCGAGATTGAAAAGGAAAGGATTGAATTAGAATTGCTTTATTAAGAGAAAATATGCCAGGACCAGATTGCATGGAGGTAGGCAGAAGAGGAGCTGGTGAATCAAAAATGCCTTGGAGTTTTTGAACTTAGGCAACTAAAGAGTTGCGTTGTTCGTACAGAATCAGGATGTTGGACAGGGAAGCGGGTTTGGTGGGGGAAAATGTACTGGGGAATAGTATATTACAGAGGTGAGTTTTTCTGTCTATGAATATGAAGTCTTTGGTAATTATATTAAGATGGCGATTCTCTGCTTAGAGCTGGTAACTTGTCATTTTGATCATTGGGTGTTGTTTATGAGTATTTGTATCTTCTTATCTATGCCAATTAGAATCAAACTGATTTTGGTTAGGAAGTACTTACTCCTGTTCTAATAGTTTTTAAGAAAAATTATTGCTCGTTGAATGAATGGGAAGGAAGAGTATTTACTATCATACATTGCTCTTTATGGTGCTTCATGGTTTTCAGAGTACTTTTCACCTCTGCACTTACAGTAATCCACTGGCATATGGGTAGTTTAGATGTGCTGTTCACTTTTTTTTTTTTTTTTTTTTTAGTGTGGCTAAATATGCTTTATTTTCAGATTTTTACAAGTGTTAAATCTCAGGACAGTTTCCCCATAATAATTGACAGGTCTTAGTTCCTACTTTTGTCCCATGGTATCTTTTGCCTTATCTCCAACATCATTCCACTGAATATATCTGATCGATGAACTTCAGTAGGCTCGAAGCTACTCAGTGGCGGAGACATGTCTTTTTTTATCTTTGTATTTGTTATACTGTTCAGTAGTTTGTTCATTCACCCAGCATTTACTGAGCATCAGCAGTGTTAGGCAGTACTTTAGGCACCAAAGTTACAGAAAAATCAGTGTCCCTATCATTACGCAGGTAGCAGTTTGATGACAAGGAAATAGTTACACTGTAGTATGAGAAGTGCTATGATTGATGCATCTTATCTCAGGTTCTGAACTCATTTAATATGTAGTAAGTGAATACAAATGATTTTTAGTTATGAAAATACAATCAGCAGTTTCAGGAGAATTGTTGATTTCCAGACAGTTACACATGAATCATCTATTCTTTGGATTATTCATGAGATGTTTTACCTGGTAATTGTATGGACACTTGAGCTTTATATCTTCTGAAGTCCACTTATTTAAATATATTGGAATTACCATTGTGTTATCCCAAATACTAGGTATAAAAGTTTTAAAATTGTGTATAATTAAATTATTTTATTTTTTACATTTCCAGTGATTGATCATTTTGGTAATTATTTTTCACAGCGAGAGAAATTTATGCCATGACGTAACTTGAGTTTTTTTGTTTTGTTTTGTTTTTAAACAACAAAACTAAAATGCAGTGTATAATAGTGGTAGCTTAACCTTAATTGCTTCCTGCCTTTGGAGTTCTATGAAAATGAGAATGTTCTGACTAACAGTTTTCTATTAATTTATGTATGTGGGATGTTCAGGTTATGCATGGTTGGAATTGAAACTGTTCATACTCAGAATCAGTACATAGGTCTGCTGAATTAATTTTCCTCAGCAGTGATGTAATAGAAGAAATGATAAAACATTCCACTTTTTTTTTTTTTAAATTTTTTTAACGTTTATTTATTTTTGAGACAGAGACAGAGCATGAACGGGGGAGGGTCAGAGAGAGGGAGACACGGAATCTGAAACAGGCTCCAGGCTCTGAGCGGTCAGCACAGAGCCCGACGCGGGGCTCGAACTCACGGAGTGTGAGATCGTGACCTGAGCCGAAGTCGGCCGCTTAACCGACTGAGCCACCCAAG